GTTGTTCAAGTTGAAAACGTTGTTGTTGTTTTTTTTTTTTTTTTTTTTTTTTTTTCTTAAGACCTATACCCTTTTCTCCCTGTCCCATCTTATCACTGTAAGCTTCTTTCTAGGTTGGTCTTCAAGTACCTCTGCTTCCCTCTTCATGGGCTGAAGAGTCGCTTATCAGGGACAAATTCTCAAACTCTGTCTTCCTTTTAAATGCTTCTTTCTTCAGTGTCCTGTTATAGAGAAACCGATTGCTCGTTGGTAGGAGTATTTGAACACTCTGTACCATACTTGCAACCCCAGGGGGTATGGAGGGAGCAATAAAGGGTTACTACAACATGTTGGGAGGAACCTGTATTTCTCTGCTTATGTACAGAAACCAGAGCATGATGAATGGGGGAACAGCTTGGAAGCCATGCAATCTGCCCTGCAGCTGGAGAGGGCTGTGAACCAGGCCCTGCTGGACCTCCATAACCTGGCTACAGGGAAAAATGATCCTCACGTGAGTAAAGTAGAAGAGAGGGGGAGAAAGCAATACCCTGCCCAGGGTATTGTGTGTTCCTTTTGGAGGAGTTGCTAAAGAGATGTGCTTCCAACACTAGGAGAGAGCTGTGCTGTATCTTTCTGTAAGTAGAGCTCTCTCAAATGTGGAGAAAAAATCCCTTTAAAAAGACTGTGGTTTTTTTTTCAGAAACACAACAGGCAGCAGGACACTTGAGTCCTTACTCAAGTGTCCAGCTGCCTGTTGTGTTTCTGAAAAACAGTCTTTTTAAAGAGATGATTCCAAGGCCCTTTTAACTCTACTAAATTACTTCTAGTATCTAATCCTGTGCCCTGGACCTAAATTATAAGTAAAACTGAGCTGATCCATAGCACTGCTACTCTATTGCCCATTGTCAGAGCTAGAATCTGAATCTTGTACTATACAACCCCATTTCTTTGCAGTCTTTGAGCAAAACTAGAAGTTCCATGCAGTAATAGTCCTGTTGACTTTGAACTGTCTTCTAGGATGTGTCATGAGGATCCCTTTGGCTAGGTGCAGACATATTTTAAAAAAGCACAAGGTGGAATCAAAGTTATGTGCTTTTCTGTAAGCAGTGTAGTTTAGATCAGAAGTGACCAGAACCCACATTTGTCCTTTGGAGGGAGTAAATCTTACTCTGGGTCCTGCCATTGTTAAACTACTCTGTGTGCTAAACTTCTGTTTTGTTACAGGAATAATCCAGTTTACACTTTCACTTGTCTAAAGTGATTGGAGTGTCTGTACCAGTATAGCACGTATGAGAAATGGATGCGCACTTCTTTTCCTAATTGCCCACTGTCTGTTTCTGCAGCTCTGTGACTTCCTGGAGTCGGAGTACCTGGATGAGCAGGTGAAGGCCATCAAGGAACTTGGAGACCACCTAACCAATTTGAAGCGCCTCAAGGTGCCACAAGATGGTGTAGGGGAGTACCTGTTTGACAGACTCACCCTTGGGGAGTGTAACCAAGAAGTGTGCTGACAGCTGAGACACTGTTCTGGATGACATGTTTGAATGGCAAAGATGCATTCATGGATCTTTAACCATTGACAATAAAACTTACTCATTACCAGGTGATTTGAGTGGTGTGGTTTCAATATGTGCACTAGGTTTTGGACCAGTTAAGGCTGTTCTGAAACAAATGGGCAAGAAGATGAGATTCTACTTCTACCTGTAGATGAGCTAGCTGTGTCTGAGTGGAAATTTTGGGGGGGGGTGGAGAATTAGTCTAGTCCAGTGGCTCTCACCCTCCTTTTGAACCAGGCCGCACTTATAAACATCAATGACCAGTCCCAACCTGGTGATCTTCACTCCCAAACTACTGCTCCCAGGCCCCAGCCCTACAGTGTGTGAAGGGGGGTGGAGCCCCTGGCAGGCTGGAACTCTGCCAGCCTGAAAGGTAAAGGCCACAGCTTCCCATGGTTTTTTCCCTTCAAAGAAGCATCCATTTTTAAATTCTGTTCATGACCCTTTCATGTGTTCTTGCAGCCCACTTCTAGGTTGTGACCCACGGGTTGAGAAATGCTTGTCTATTTGACATGTGCTGCTCTAAGAGGGCCTTCCAACTTTGGTTGTAGGGGACTGGGTTTGAGTCTGTCTTGACCATATGCTTCTATACTGATCATTTCCGTACTTGTTGCAAAGGTCTGCCTGGTCTGAGTGAAAACAGACTTGGCTGCATTTTGTAGCACAGATGCACTCTTTTTGAACCCGACCAAGGACTCAAAACTGTCTCCCATTTTCCCTGAAAGGCATATTTATGTTGCAACCTTTATTGTATGAGGCACCGGTACCCTCCTAATTAATCGCTCTGCAGGAATTGCAGAAGCAGCAGAGCCATGTTCTATAGCTCTGAAGAGGCTAATCCCTGCTCCAAGATGCTAATTGGCTCACCTGCAGTGCTGTGCAAACCTGCTTTTGTTTAGGTGGTAGCTCTCAGAACAGTATAGCATGAGAGCACTGCTGAGCCCTGCTCCCTTCAGTAAGGTTAATTGTGGAGACTTCCTGCCTTAGAGCACTAATTCTATCCTTAACCTGAAATAACCTCATGGGCTCAAACAGTTACTAAAATATACAGAAGGAATTTTAGCTTCTAGGAACCAACCTTTCTGAGGAAACTGCATCTAGTGAAGTAGCAAGAGCATTAAAGTTCAAACAAATCTGAAAGGAGGGGGGTAGAAGTGGCTGCTAGCTACCTCATTGCCCTAATTGCCACAGCTGGGGTTCTTTTGCTGTAACTAATCATTCTCTGCATTCCT